AGTGAGATGAGTTGAGATGTTTGTTTTTTTGGAGGAATATTAAAGCTGTAAGAGGTCTAGAGATTTGAAAAAAATCCTGAGAAAGGTACAAAAGGGGCCTCAACGCCGAGCGCGCGCGAGCACACACACACACAAACATACACACAAACACAAACACAAACACACACACACACACACAAATACACATACAAACACTCACACAGACACACATATTGAGGGGATAAAGAGAGAAAGAGATAGAGAGAAAGAGACACAGAGAGAGAGAAAGAGAGAGAGAGACAGACAGACAGACAGACAGACAGACAGACAGACAGACAGACAGACAGACAGACAGACAGTGAGAGCTATAACAGACAGACAGAATCAGAAAAAAAATTTAGAGTAAAGCAGTCAAACTTAACAATGACACCCTCCAACCATCCACGATAAATAAGGTATCGTCCTTCAACAGGAATAAGATTTTTTTAAAGTCTGGAAAACAAGACCAAAAAAAAAAGATCACTTTTCATAATTGAAAGGCTAGCAAAATAGGTTCTAAGTCATCTTGAGATCGTTTTGTTTTTTTTTTTTAAAGCACAAAAACCACAACAATCAATCAATTTAACCAAACAAGCAAAGAAAAAAAAATAACCAGCTGGTCTTCAGCATGATTTGTATTGTTGACTTTCGGTAATCTGTAACCGTCATAACTCTGATTTAAAGCCACCCAGTCGTTTCATTCCAGCTAATTTGTGCAGTCTCCATTGATACGTACAGTTACACGAGAGCTCAATATTATAATACTATAATAACAATTAAATTATTATTATTATTATTTATTATTATTATTATTATTATTATTATTATTATTATTATTATTATTATTATTATTGTTTTTATTATTGGGAGGATGATGATGATGATCATCATCATCATCATCATCATCTTCATCATCATCATCATCATCATCGGGCCTATTTTTATTTAGCAAAATGTGACTCAGGCTCATTATCTATCTGACCCCTTCAGTAACAATGTAATAATATACTGTACCAATGCATGATGGATCCTCCCCGCTCCACGTATAGTTGGCCTGGCACACCCTGAACTTTGACCCTTGAACCACGAGCTTCTCTCGACACCTGTACGTGCAGGTTGTGCCCACGCTCACGTGCACGCCCTGGGGACAAACAGAACAAAGCAAAACAAAACATATAAATGACTACTTAAATGGAAACATGTTTAAGATAGTGACGATGATGATGATGGTGATGATGATGATATTGATGATGATGATGATGATGATGATGATGATGATAATGATAATACATGTATCAAAAACAAATAAAAACATAATAATAATAGTAATAATAATAATATTGATAATAATAATAATAATAATAATAATAATAATAATAATAATAATAACGATGGTGATAATGATGATGATTATAATAATAATAATAATAATACTTATTATTATTATTATCATTATTATTATTATTATTATTATTATTATTATTATTAATTTTATTATTATAAAAATAATAGAAAGAATAGAAATGATAAGAACGGCAGATGCAAAATAATTATGTATTTATTTATTTTCTTAAATTATTCATTTATTTAGCAATTTCTTCATTTATTTATTCATGTATTCATTTATTTATTTTTGTCTAACAGTGTTACAACTTGATAATGTGCCCAGGACAACTGATTGTCAGCCCTGTTTTCCTAAACGTCTTTCTGTAACGTGATACTGTTTAGGCATATGTGAGGCTAAAAATTAGCAGGTAGTTCAGCGAACTATGACCTAAAACAGACTCCTGCTCGAAAATAATACAGTGTAATGTACTTTTTAAGGGTGCTTAGGAAAGATAAGAGGTCAGGATTATTAACTATTTACTTTGTTTGATTTTTAACATACATTTATTCATTTATTTATTTATTCACTTGTTAAATATCTTATTTTTGTTTCTATTTTATGTTATAAAATTTATTTTATTCTTTTTCTATACTTTTATTCTAAATTGTTTTAATTTTAATTAGGTCTAATTAGTTAACATTGTGTTCATATTTTTTTCCAAAAATTTAGGGATTGGGGGGAGGGGGGGGGGGGGG